TTCATGTAGGAGATTATTGAAAAATTTAGTTTTTATAGGCTCATTTTGGGCCTACTTTGAGCCCAAAATTGAGTAAGTCTCACACGTCTTTTGGAGTAAGTTCGAAAAAGTGACGTGTTCCTTGTCGCATGACAAGTGACACGGTGAAAACGGTTCCTCAAAACCATTTATGAGTGAATGAAAACTTGACGTCGTTTTCGAGTTCGTGGAATGGACAGTTAAATAATTACATGTGGGTTTCCTTATAAAGCTTGTCCTATATTGAAACTTTAAGTGAACTTTTGTGAGTATATAAGCTCTAGGTGTACAAACTTGGGTTGGGCCCCAATGGGCACCCCAAGTTTGTAGAATAGAAGAGTTATGGACAAATGAAACATTGGCTCACACCACCACACACGCACACCGCGGACCGGCAAGCCGAACTGAATCGTACTGGGCGCAGTTGTGGGTTGAGTCGGTTCTAATTTTAATTTTTTGAACAAAATTTATTTAAATTTTTTTAAATTTTTGCAGGAAATATTTGAATTTCAAAATAGAAGTTTAAATTCAAATTTTTATCCAAAAATTGTGCCAACAGATTGTGTTCTTCCCTTAACAGATTTATAACTACAAGCAGTTTCCAACAGATAGAAACTGCCCAGCAGTTATCTGTTCTTCAGTTACTGCACCTGTTTATTCAAATTCAGATCTGTTCATTTGAAATTGAACCTGTTCGGACAACCACTTTTTGCCTATAAATAGAGGCCATTTCCAACAGTGTTTTGCATTCAAAATAGTCTGAAAAAGTTATTTTCTTACTGTCCAGATTTTGCTCTATTGCATATATATTCTTCATATAATTTTAAGAAAAATTTAGAGAGTATAAAACACAAGTTTTGTTCGTCGAACAAATTGTTTGGAGTGCTACTACAATTTGTGAAGATCATTGTATCCTGAAAAATAGACGCCATTAGTCCGCAAGCACCAAAACAGGGTAAATCTGTCTTAAGAATAGAGTGTCACACACTCAACTTGATCTTTTAATTATTTATTCGATTTGGTAAAATAAATTCGATAAGTAATTTATTTTTATTTGTTTAATTTGTTTCAACTTATTTATTTTACACAAAAAATTGTTCCAGCAATTTTTAATTTACTCATAAAGTTAATTTATGTTCAAAATTAGACAAAAAATATCATAATAACTATCACATAACATAAAAAAATATTATTATATCAAAATTTATATTTATATTAGAAATGCAAATTATATATAATAAAATATTTTTATACGACGTGACTATTAATGTGTCGTTTTCTGTCTAATTTTTAACATAAATTAATTTTCAAATGACCAAATATAAAAGATGCAAAGTTTAATTTATCCTTTTCTTATTTATTGTGATAATATGACACATAATACTAGATGTTGAGAACACTAAACAAATTTTTAGCGCCAGAAGCATACATAAGCTACAAAGATCAGCTTTAGATAATCTTTGCCTCATTTTCTTGTACTCTTCAAAATTAATATAAACCTTTCGTACTAAGACAAGAATAACCTTTACATACCGTAAGTGTTTGGAAAGAACTAAAAAATGTGCCTTTTTTTACCTACATATATTTATTTAGATCACATCAATCAACCTCTTATCTCTGCTGTTCTAACCACTTTCTCAACTTTTCTACATATTCTTTTTTTTATAAAAAGTCAAAAAAATGTACTTATTTAAAACATCCTAAACCACCCCATAGAATCATCTTTATCTTTCTCAAAAAAGAAAAAGGAAAAAGACAAGAATAACCTTATAACGAATGTAACAGTTACTTATCCGATCCTAACATAAAGACACACAATCTCAACTTTCGTTTTCGCTCTCTTTCCTTCTTTCTTTCACACGTGCATAAATAAATGCACAAACGGACTTGAGCATTCCTAAGTTCGTAGCTAATTACGAGTACTTCTCTTGCCATCAAGAGTATCTAATAATTTTTCATTCAAAAGACCTTTTTTGCTTACAGATGAGGGGGGTTCGAAACTCGCACAAAATTTGTTCCATTGTTCACCACACTAAGATGATTCTCTCAAACTAATAAAAATATAAATGTAAGTTGTATTTGGTGTGAAGTTCTAATCATAATTCCACACCCATATTTTTGTTTTTCAAAAATTAATTCCACATTTACTTTTAAAAACTCGTTTCAAGTGCGGTTTTGAATTTTGAAATTTAGCTTACTCGGTAATCCTCCCGGACATCTAGCCGATCGTTCGGCCGGTTGACTGGAACAGTACTATTTTTTTGGAAGGGGAGACAATTGGCACTTGTTATTTTTTATATTTTAAATAAAAAATATTTTCAAAATTTTTTATGAGTTTTGAATAGAATTTTGGATTGTATATTTGGTTATGAGTTGTAAATTTTTTAATCAAATACCATATATCACATCAAAAATTTCAAACTCAATTCAAAACTCTTTTCTACTCTTTTCAAAACTTATAACCAAACAAATTTTTCACACTCAAATCATAATTTCAAAACTCACAAATTCAAAATACAACTCTATTATTAAATCATAATTCTAAAACTCTATCAAATGCTACCATAGTCTTCACAAGTAAAAACTCACCTAACCAATGTTAATCGACTAGGTAGGGGATAAAGCCGACATGGCATAGACTGTACGTGTGATACAAATCTCAAAATGTTCTCTAAAAACAGATTAGAGAATGATCCCCTGAAATAAAATTATAAAATGTTGTCTAGTGAACTCAAGGGTGTACACGGACATCCAATGATTGTCCCACAACAGCAAATTCGTGGGCTCAAACTCCTCCCCCCCAATCTCCCTCACCAAATTATCTCCCATTACTGGAACTCGCACATAATTTCCTTCCCCCACTCCAACTACTCTACCCCACTGGGGATTCCGTTCCACTACCCCACCGCTCTCCATCAGTCCCAGTCACTGCAACTCCCTCCATCACCATTGTCCCCCCCTAACCCACCCCCAACTCATGAACCAGCCCTCTTCCTTCCCCAGCCCACCCATCCATCCGACCTCCACAATTGACCATAACTAAATGACAATGCAGAATCGTCAACACCAAACCTATGCAAAGTTTTGGTTCAAGCTTTGCCAGAAAGTTCCTAATACCTTCCAGTTGTTCACCAGAGCTCAAATCTTCAGTCAAAATTCAAAGAACTAGACCTAGACAAACACAGTCCTTCACACAAATGCTATGAAAAGATTGAATCCGAGGACGGTTCTCTTCATCAATGGGAGAAGCACATAATTCAAACAATCAAGCTCATGCACAACACATATTGACCTTTCCTTAATTTCTAACTATTCATAAAAGCAATCAACTTAACCTGTTTTTCAGAGAGTAATAAAATGGCTGGTTCAATCTACAGAAAAATGTTTCTGGTTTTCCCAACAGTTTAGGTATTTAATGAACAAGAGGCTCCCTCAAATCAAACCACGGAAGGAGAAATATTTCAGCCCGTTGTCTATATTACTGCTTTAAACACACACCTAAGGCTAACTTAAGATATCTAATTTAAGTATCCACCTGGAAGGATCTACCAAAATGCAGCCAAAACTCAGCATGATGCAGCAACCAATATCAAGCAAATAGACCTTGTCTATATCCTCAGGTAAATGATCAGAGTACATCTTAAGACCTAAAGGATTACATCTCAAATCAAATCAGTTTAGAGGATGAAAACTAACTGACCTGGACCTATCATCTTTTGACAGTGGCTGTGCTTAGCTATTGGCAATTGAGAAATTTTCCGCATAACACACAAATCCTTTCCAGAGGTTGATGAAACTAATTATTTAACAAATCAATCCACAAGGAACAAAAACTACACCCAAGAAGGCTATGAATACCACTGGAATAAGTGGGAACGTGCATCAGAGATGTATCTAAATGATGATAACCTTATATGATTTTCCTTTTTCTTTCTTACCTTTCCATTTCCAAGCAAAGAATGGAAAAATAACTCCTCAAACTAAAAATTCAGAAAATCATTTCTCATTAAAAATAGAAGGCTCATAGAAGATAACTTTCTGTGATTCAACTCATGCAGGCTTAAATCAATTTGCAAATATACAATAGAAGAATCAATTCATAATTATATACTATAAGGTACATGTGAAAGATCTAATATAATAATCAAGACACTCTCAATAACATAAGTCCCAAAAACTCTCCCAGTAGAATTACCAGATAGTGATACACAGACACAAGAAGATAGATAAAGCAACAGTCAGTGTCAAATAATAATACAACAACGATAGAATATATATATATATATATTAGGATAGTTTTTAGACTCAGGAATGGGAATATTCAGAGCAAAAATATGACTTCCTAAATAAAATCCATATTCAAAGGGCACAGGAATCTTAATGAAAGAACCAGAGAGATAAAGGGAGGAGGAATATAAGAAGAGATATTAATGAGAATCCGAAAGGCAAGGGATAAAGTTCCAACTTCCAAGGTTACCATTGTTACAAACTAAGTAGCATAGACACCAACACGTGACACACTAAAGCTGCAATTTCAAAAAAATACTGAACACGATACAGTTGGGAAACGTTTAAATTTTATAGTTTTACAGAATTTATTATGTCAAATTTATTTCAACTAAAAAGTACTTAACTATTTGGCCAAATTTTTGGTATTTGATTAACTCAGACCAAATTATTTCAGTATTCAATAATTAATTAACTGCTATTACACCAGCAATGCATCTAGCATTATAATTTTTTTGGTTGGCACCGGGATGTCTAGATCAAAACCCGATTAATCCCCAGGTAATCTAACAAAGATGCTTAAGTTTTGGGGGCAATAGGTAGTCTAACAAAGATGCTTAACAAATCAATATCATAGTCCTGCAATAATTCATAAAATGATACAAGGAGCGTAAAATCAACACATTGAGATTCTTTCCCATGGCCAATCAAACCAAAGAATGATTTCAATTCAAAATAATTGATGACATTGGACAAATACAAAAACTCTTCAAGCAGAGTATAAATTTCAATGTATATCATCCTACCTTCTTACATGTTACAACATTGCTGAAGGGTCTGGATGAATTCTCCAATCTTCACTAATTTTAAATCACCTAAAGTTAAACTAGCCCTAGGAAACAGACAGATTGCAGCTGTTACATAATCAAAATCTCAATACAAACCTTGATATCGATATTGACAAATGAAAACAAGGAAAGGAAACAAGACCAAAAAACTAAAACTAAATACTTCCAAAGAACTTGTATACATCAGATTTTCACAAGTGAAGCTCCCATACCAAGGAGGTTAGTCACCAGAAAGAACATCCTCACTGAGGCTCAGGTGTGGAAACCACAAACAGTTTACAGCTGTCTAGGACTACTGACCCCGCCATCCAGGACTTGAAATGGGGAAAAATCCTGAAGGAGATAATGGAAATGCAATGCCAGGAGAAAGCGGAGGTTGAGGCCCGGGACCTAAAAGCCCCGGCTGAGCCATGGGAGAAAATGCAAAATTTGGTGTCAGCGGTGGAGGGAACTGATACCCAGGAGACAGCAAGGGATAAGGTGACCGCGGAGACAACAAATTCAAGAAACCACTAGGTGATGGCAAAAGGAATTGAGAAGTAGGAGAGGGTAAAAGAGGCGGAGGACCACTCATTCGTGGTGAGGAAAGAGGCACGTGTGGGTTAGGAAGTAAACCAGACGATGGACCCGGAACCTGAGGATGTGGTTGCCTAGGTCCCGAATCTATAATTGAGTTTTGCAGGTAGCGCATATACGCTGAGATAGGAGACTCAGCTGTATTTGGCCAAACTGAATCACCAGGAGTAAAAGGTGGCAACATTGTAGGTGATGGCTGACCAAATTGAGCAGGTGGTCTAACAAAGGGATTACCATAAGGAATTGGTGCTGCAGGCATAGGTGGGGCTTGAGGTGGAGGTGGGGGGTGAATTCGAATTGGGGGTCGATTAATGGGTGTTAATGGCGGAGGTCTGATCTTCTGCAACCTCATGCTCGGGGGTTTAGGCGGATTATTGGGAGGTCTAGGCAGCGGTTCTTGGGAAGGCGAACCAGTTAGTTGCTGAACAATGTTTCGAAAATCGTTCTTGTTAATATTGTAAACCTGAGGTTGAGGTTGTTGCCTAGCAGAATTAGCAAAATTGGGTTGGTGCAGTGGGCTCTTTCTTATGTTTTTCCCCATCTTGTTCACACCCAAATGATCATTATGCTTATTCCGGTTATCCATTTTCAAAAAAACAAATAAAAAAATCCAAGCTTTAACCAGCTCGAGAATCGCAGATTCAGTTTTGTTTCCACAAATCAATCAAATTTTGAAACCATTCTAGCATCCAAAACGAAATACCCAGAACTTCCAAATCGAATCTCAAACACCAATAATCGAATCATGGAACAAAATCAAGCTCAAATGAAGAACCGAAGAAAAACCCTAGAATTGAAATTAAGAAAGTAGAAAGCATACCCTGTTCTTGGCTTCTCCAAATCGCAAATCCCAGATCAAATCTAAACCCAATACTCTCACCAATTCGAAGTTTCCAGCTCGTGTACAATCAAGATATCTTTTACCCAAAATCGATTGAAACTGACTCTGCTTCTCTCTCTAGAATAGTAATAAAACCAAAACAGAGAGCTGAGTCCACGCTCTGGATCTTTGTTCTCTCTCTCTCTCTCTCTCTATCTCTAAGGAGTTGAATTCCTGAGAAAGAAGACGAAGAGAGAGAGGGAGGTGTGAAAACCTAGCGAAGAGAAGGAAGTAACGTCCCTTTGTCGGTCAATATGTTTGAAAATGGGAATGGAAATGAATAATTAGGCATGCAACTTGGAAGTAGTGGACACTGGTGTGGCATGGTGGCAGCTGAGTGGGCCCCCAAATTCTCACAAAATGTTAACAATTTAAAACATAATTTCAAAATTGTAATAAGGTGGTAAGAAAAAAAAAATTAGTAAAAAAAAAATTAGAATAAATTATAAATACTCCTGAGATTTGTAGAAAATACGAATTACTCATTGTGATTTAGAAAATTACAAATATCTTTCTGTAAGAATTTTTTATTTAACATAATTAATTAAAAAAGTAAAACTTCTAATTGTTCACCTATACAATAATAAAATTATCTGAATTATTAATTAAAATAAAATTTTAACATTATTGAAAACTGTTACTTAACTTGATGATTTATTCTAAAAGGACCTATTTGTTATGAAATTATAAACCCTAGGGACATAATGTATTTTCTAGAATCACGTGAGATAATTTGTAAATTAAGAAAATCTCAAGAGGTATGTTTGTAATTTATCCAAAAATTTAATAAAAGAGAATTTATCTAGAAATCTCATCTCAAAAAGTATGTATTGAAAAATTTCATGAAATTTTTTTGTAAACAGTTAAGTCTCATTGAATTTAAAAACGTACATTGTGAGATCCTTTACTGTATTAAATTTGATTTTAAATGTAGTATGTTTTATTTAAAAAAAATTATTGTGAGATAGAACTTTTTGAATTATAAAAATATGTATGAGATTGAGTGGGCTATAAATTAGAAATATAAAATTTATTTATTTTTGATAAATAAAAATATAAAATTTACTATTAGTCAAAAAGTAAATATATATTTTACTGTTAGTCAAATAAATATTATAAAAAGATTTTAATCACTAATTTTGTAACGAGATATAAGAATTCAAAAAGTCTGGTAATTCAGATTTACCCATTCATATTTTTTGGGTCTGTGTTTGTATGGTGGAGATTAAGTTTGTATTGTGTGAGATTCACATTTAAAATAAATTTGAATCGCAAGATAATAATTTTTAGATAGTTAAGTGTGGATTCATAATATTATTGATGAGAATTCTAACGAAGAGAGGGTAAAAGAGGCGGAGGACCACTCATTCGTGGTGAGGAAAGAGGCACGTGTTATACTGATTTACGGTAAATTATATTGATTTCTTTTGAGATTTAAAAAAATATAATAAATTTTATAGTTTTGATATAATTATACAGATTTTTTTTAGTAAAGTTAAAGAAGTCAAAATTAATATAAATAGTATAAAGATACAATGATAGATAATATAAAATATATATTTCAATATAAAAAAGATGACAATCATTATTTCATTCATACACCTAATGAATTTATAATGAAACGGACATCAAGTATTAAATGAATCAAAACCTTAAGGTAGTCCAATATAATTATGTTAAACTTACAGAACTTATTGTATTTTATCTAAACCTTAAAGGAGGTCGGTGTAATTTACCTTACTTATTATTAGCATAATTTTAGAGTTTGTCCATGCAACAAGTACAAAAAATTCAAAATACCAAGATAAAATGATTTCTTATTTGATTCACATTTTTTTTACACTGTTTATATAATTTTAATGAGGCCTTTTATTATGTATTTGTGGGATTATTTTATCTTGAGGGAGTAATTTATTCTATAATAACATTTTTACTTTAGAATTCAAAAAATACATTTATGAAGATAATATTTATACAGTTAATTTATTTGGTCTAATCTTATCCACGTACCTCGATATAATAATTTCATCTACACATGTAAATTGTTAGACTAAGGCCTCGTTTGAGAACATGCTAATTTAACTTTTTGACTATTTAGTTAAAATATGAACTAAAAAAAACTAGCATGTTTGGGATGATTTTTTGACTTTTTACGAAAAGATGTGCAAAAAGTTTGACTTTTTACGAAAAGATGTGCAAAAAGTAGAGAGAAAAGAGAATCTTTGACTTTTTGGTATGGATTGTTAGCTTTTTTGCTAATTTAGTAATTTTTTGACTTTTTGACTAAAACAGAGGGTTTCCAAACGAGGCCTAACTACTCCAATTCTTGCTTATATATGATAAACTAAACTAAAATAGACAAAGAAAAAAATTGAAAGCAAGACTCATCATATCTTACAACCCAAGGATAATTGTATTTGTTACCCATATATTGATGAATTTGTTCTTACTAATGTTATTACTCATCCGACCCTTAAACAAAAAATAAAAATAAAAATAAAAATAAAATTGAAGGAGATAATTATGAGTTAGGCATCTGGCATAATCACCAGTTGATTCCTTCCTTAGCAGCCGGCATGAGGAGCTGAATTTAAACATGCTTTGAAAATTTAAGTGCTCTAATAGTAAAACCATTGAAAAAAAAATTGGGTAAATTACATTTACCTCCCCTGAGGTTTCTGACAAATACAGGGACCTCCCCTGTGGTTTGAATAATTACAGTAACCTCCCCTACTTTACCTGACAATATCAAGATTCCCCCTGCTGTCAAAAATCACTAAACGGTGTCACTTTTTCTTTCAGAAATTACTTTATTGCCCTTCCCTTTAAAAATATTAAAAAATGTTTTTTGATTGGAGGATAAGTTTAGAATGTTTGGAACAGTATTTTTAGATTTATTTTTTTAAAATATTAAAAAATGTTTTAAAAACAATTATTTTTTATTTTAAATATATAATTTTTATTTAAATATTTTATTTTATTTTGTAAATATTTTAAATTTTAAATTTTAATATTTTAAACTCAAAACACAATTTCTCACTCAAATCGTAACCAAACATATAAAACAGAACTCAATTAAGAAATTATTTTTAAAACTCATAACCAAACACATAACTCGAAACAGGTATCACAATTCTTATTCTCAAATACACAATGGTTATTGTCTATTGTCTACTTGTTGGCTTAGGCATCAGAGGGGTTTCTAGCACACACCCGTCAGCTAGCTCACGTTTGTGTTTTTAGATAGCACAGCAACGACGTTTGGAAAAGTGCAAACTTGGTCAATAGGATTATACGAAAAGATTATTCCATGCTCGTACAGCTATATTAGTTAAGCAATTCGAATGGGATATGCAATAAAATGGTAGCTAAAGCATATAATCATGGATATACGTAATATATGTAAGCATTTTGATTATGTGTGTATTTCTAAAGTGCCTTGGTCAATGGTTAAAACTGCTCATGATGCAATTAAGGTGATTTTTTTTTCCTCTATAATCTTTGTAGATTTTCATCTTTATTTCTTGAAATTCGTTTTAGAAATGTGTCTAGTGTTAGACAGATTCTTTTAGATTTGTATCTTCAGATTTATGATCATCGTTTATCAATTTAAAAAGTTTGGTTTTGAGTTTTGAAAAGAGTTTTCAATTGAGTTTTGAGTTGTGTGTTTGGTTTTAGGTTTTGAAAATAATTTTTGAATTGAGTTTTGAGTAATAAAAACATGTTCCGAATTTTTTTTTTTTTTAGAAACATGTTTGGTTCTCTTTTAGAATCACAATTCCAATTAAAAATTTTCAAAAATCTTTTTAAAACTCATAGTCTTAACCAAATACACAACTCAAAACTCAATTCAAAAATTATTTTCAAAACTCATAACCAAACACAAACTTATGTTAAATACATTTTTTAAATATTAAAAAAATTAAAAAATTTTATTTTTTATTTTAAATATATAGTTTTTATTTTAAATATTTTATTTTATAATATATATTTTTAAATATTTTAATTTTTTTGTTAGGCGTTTGGTAACGATTTGAGTGTAGAGTTTTGAAAGTAGTGTCGAGTTATGTGTTTGGTTATGAGGTTTGAAAATAATTTTTGAATTGAGTTTTGAGTTATGTGTTTGGTTACGATTTGAGTGTGAAATTGTGTTTTGAGTTTAAAATATTAAAATTAAAATATTAAAATATTTACAAAATAAAATAAAATATTTAAATAAAAATTATATATTTAAAATAAAAAATAATTTTTTTAAAACGTTTTTTAATATTTTAAAAAATAAATCAAAAAATACTGTTCCAAACACTCCAAACCTATCCTCCAATCAAAAAATATTTTTTAATATTTTCAAGGGATGGGCAATAAGGTAATTTCCTAAGGAAAAAGTAACACCGTTTAGTGATTTTTGACAACAGAGGGGGAATCTTGATATTGTCAGATAAAGCAGGGGAAGTTACTGTAATTATTCAAACTACAGGGAAGGTCCCTGTATTTGTCAGAAACTTCAGAGAGGTAATTGTAATTTACCCAAAAAAAAATTTTCTAGAGAAGACAAGTAACAGAATTTTGAATCACATCATACGTGTCCTTTTCCTGTTTTGTACTTGTTGAATCGAAGGCCAAGTTTGGCTATTACAAAATAATTTATCTTTTTATTTTTTTTTTCATTTTTCTGAATATTTTTTCGTAAAAAAATAAAAATACACTTATTTAGGTCATTCTAAACAATCCCTAAATGGCTTTTCCCATGTAATGATTTCTAAAAAAAATTAAAAATTAAAAACATAATTATTCAAGTGTTAATAAATTGATCGATTCTTGCATCTTCATTACGTATCTGCAGTAAAATTTAAGATTTTTATTACATATTTATTTATTTTTATTAATTATTTCAAAACCTATCAAGTAATAGAGTATCAAATAATTCAAATTAGTAATCTTTTAGA